ATAGATCAACCTAGGGTGAGGCTGATTGTCTCTGTCTGAGTCTTTGATGTGAAACACAATCTTAAGTCTCCTGCAAGATGAATCTTGGTCATTGGGGACAAATATTGTGATATGTTTGTTCTGTCATTCCATGGGAGGGGGAAAGGGACAGCCAGACAAACTGTCTCCTCCCATAGCCCTCTGGTTTAAAAAAAAAAAATAAAGATCATAGCCCTCTAAACTAGAGCCCTGTTAAACATTAGGTCTAGATTAGAGTCCCTGCCTGCTCTCACTCAAGACAATCACATCCAGGCATAGTATTGGGCCTATTGTTACTAGAGTCTAAATCTCCAACCCCTGTAGTCAACCATATCTAAATTATCACCCCCACCTCTTTTAGGTTTCTCCAGGTAAACAGACTACTTGCTGTTTTCCTTGTGTCCCAGAGCTTCGACTCAAGCTGAGCATCCAGGACTTCTAAGTCCAAGCCCCAATTAGTGTTTCAGTCCCAGCCTCAGTTTAGACTGGAATCTGCTGAGTCCTGCTTTCTACCCCTCCCGCTCTGTCAGCTCCACATATCTTCTCCTGGTTTTGGCCAGATCAGCTCCTTGAGATAGGGTTTTACAAAACTGTCCTTTGCCCCTGTTGTCTCAGCCCTGATCCATTGTGTGTACATGTGACTCTGTGAATGTGTGTGTGTGTGTGTGTGTGTGTGTGTGTGTGTGTTGTCTTCCGACCCCTGCCTCTCAATTTCAAGCCCACCCCCACCTCTCTCTGTGCATTCCATGGTGGTTCCTCCAGTTCAAATACTAGTCAAATCCAGATGCCCCCTCTAAAGTTCCTTTTCATCATGGTGTCTCCTCTGTGATTACCTTAGCCAAGGCTTTGTCACTGACATAGCAGCCCCTCACGCAGTCTCCTGTCCTGCCTATATCCTGCATAGCTAGCTATGTGATAAAGCCTGCCCCCTCACCTCACCAGAGTTCCTGCCTATATTCCATCATTCCCCCTCACTCTTATTTTCAGACTGAGCTCTTTCCTCCTTGGAACCCTCAGTGTGTCTGGGCCAAGCTCCAATGTGTTACCAAAATACTCCAATCCTGAAGTCATGGATGAAGCTTGAGACCAAGTCAGAGAGAAAGTGAAGACTTCCTAAAGCAGAACAATATCTTCGAGTTCACTTGGCAAGCAGTTATCAATGTAATGGCCTTTCCAAGCTCCATGAGCTATACAGGGCCAAATAGGTCATGCCAGAGAGTCCCAGTGCTGTTTCTAGAATGCCTCAGCCATCCCCTGCCAAGGAAGGGGCAAGACCATCAAGTCTGGGGAGGCTCTGGCTCAGACAAGATGGGTGTAGCCTCAGAATGTTGTGGCCACAGCTGCTGCCAAGGCCAAAACGGCCACAAGCATCCTAGAGCCTGAGGGCAGCCACCATTTCCCAGCACAGTGCTTGCCCTGGCTCAGGGTGGGAGACAAGAGAACCATAAAAGTGAGACATCCCTGTCATTTTCACAGTCTCCCACTCTTATTTTTTCGTTCTCTCTTCCTCTCCTGTGCATTCTTCTCCCTTCCTCTCCGTTCTTGTCTTCTCCTGTCCCCTCTCAGTCCTCCCTCCTCATCCCTCTCCTTTGTGTGTCCATGTTCCTCCACTACACACTTTTAGCATGCTTTGGTGATTCCGTGTAGCTCCTATTCTCTGGTCTGGTTGAAGAATGCATTGGGCCCTGCTTGTATGTTTCTTGCTGCATAGGGCCTGCATGGGTAACGTATGCATGGGACACTCTTGAATAGAGCATCTGGAAGCCCTGCATGTGTCTGTCATTTCTGATGTAGTCCAAGCACCTGGATGAAGGATATAAGAGCAGTGAAAAGGAAAGAGATCCTGCTGTGGTTCCCTCCCCCATTGACATCTTAGGGATCAGCTAGCACCTCGGTCCCCAGTGGCCCCAAGTTTGCAGATACATTGAGGCAAGTGTTGCATCAGACCCACAGCACCATGACCCTTCTGCAAAAGTAAGAGAATACTTTTGGGTACTCTTCCCTCCACAGGCTAGTACTCTGTAGATACCTGTGCCTTGATTTCCTCTGGTGTTACTCCTACTCCAGGCAAGTAAGTTAGTGAAATATCTGATGATTAAGGACTGCCTACAAGGAAGCACCTATCAGGTAGGGAGGTGGGCAGTCTGCACTTCTGTGAACATCCCTTTGCTTCTGTCCCCCACTCTTCATGCTGTAGTGGTTTCTCTGGTCTCAGCACGCTGCTAGGAATGGCTGCCTTCAGCTGGAAAGGCCAAAGGGCTGAGTCTCTGAAACCGCTGCTCAGACCATGTGCATTTACCAAGCATCCCCCCCCCACCACCTGCACCCCATCCCTGCAAACATGCTGAAGGATGTCATTAGAGAATATGATTAACATTTGCCCAAGGTCATTGTAAGACACACCTATACTCTGAAAAAGTAGAAAGAAAAGAGAAACTTCAAGCTATAAGAACCCTCAGGCAGTCTGTGGGAAGTTAAGTACAACTTCCCCTCCTGATTGCTCTAGAAGTTTCCTGTAGCCTAACACTGCTTGAACTTTTAGTATACCAGCCAATGTAGTGGGACACGTGTCCTCTGTCCTGTCCTCTGAGAGTCTTTATCTCCTAAGGTAGATGCTACTCATTGTCTCTGCTTGTCCCATTTTCTCTTGCAGTTCTCACACAGGTGTGGACCCCTGACTAAGAGCCGAGAAAATTCCCCCAACCAGGGCTTGACTGTGTGCATTAATACCCAGCATGGGGTTTGAGTTCATTGATTTCTCTGCAGGTAGAACTTTGGAATGCACCTGAAGGAAATAAACAAGGAAGAACATCCATTCTTGTCTACACGAGAGATTCTTCTGCTGCCTTTTGGAGAAGTAAGGAAGGGAAAGGGAATGCTGTAGCCCTGGCCCTGCTCATGCTCATAAGGAAACAGTAGTGCAGGACTCATGGGCCCAGTAAGACACTTACTCTCAAGGAACAGCACACAGCAGCTGCAGATGAAAAGGCAGCATGCTGGCCCGGGCCTGTCTGCTTTGGGGGTTGAGCATGCATGCAGCCATGCTAGTACATACCTACACACATAGCTTGGGTGAAAAGCACCTTGCTCCTTGGTCTGGAACTGACAGGTTAGCCCTTCGTGGAGATGCTTGCATGTAGATCTTGAAACAGGCAGGACTAGCAAACCCCACATCTGTATTTTTACACCCTTATAGTCTTCTGCCAAGTTTCTGATCCCAACCCTGTTGACTGCTTTACCCCACACTATGTAGAACCCAATGAAGAGAGGATCAGCTTGCTCCTATTAGGGATGAGGCAATTCAGTCCCAGGTTGCGGAGCTATGAATTGTCACAGATGGGGAAGAGGACCCTTCATGTGGTGGGGAAGAATTGACCTTCTGTTGACAGAGGCTATTGGAGAGCTGGCTACAGTGTGGAGGAAGAAGCTTCCAGATCATGTCACCTTTCCTCCTTGTTAGAACCAACAACACTCCTGGCCAACTTTCCTCTTGGTGATTTGGGGCAACATTTTCATGAATGGCAACTGAGGTGGCAAAAGTGCATCCTCACCCTGTTGATGGAGTTCTGCCCATCCTGTCATCCATGTGTATCAAAACCCTTGCACCCCAACTTCCTTTACAGCTGTCCTTGGGGAGACACTCCACAAGATGAAGCAGTTCCTTCCTGTGCTTCAGCATTCTCAGAAGAGGTTCCAGGATTGAATTAGTCAGAGATGGGACTCTGGTGCACTGAGCTAGGAAGACTGCAGATGGGTCTTAACCCAACAGATGGGTGGCTGTCTGGAAGTCCAACACCTCACAGCTCACTGTCCCTAGGTGAGATCTCAGACAGTGAGACTTGGGCCAGTGTCCATCCTTTCTGTCAGGTGTCTGGCACTAGTGTTCATGTGGCATCTGCTATGAGGGTGTGGACTTTTGTTGGGGTGTGCTCCTGCAGGAACTGCTCCTGTACACATTTCTCACTGCCGCTACCACCAGTCATGGGTGTCTTCAATTGCCCTCAGAATGAAGTACCCATTTCTTTGTGATCTGAAAAAAAAAATCATCACTGATGGCTTTGTAAAGCAGAAGTAAAGGTTGCGAGATGGTTTCATTCATGTGGGATCCTTGGTGCTGGTCAGGTGGGGAAGGCTATTCCCTAGGCCAGAGTGTAAAGTAGAGGAACTCTGGCCTCTGGAGTGGACATACATGGTAATCAAATATACTGATGTCTCCGTTAAAGTTTCTATGTCTGTGAAGAGCACCACAACCCAGGCGACTCTTATAAAGGGAAACATTTAATTGGGGCTGGCTTATAGTTTCAGAGGTTCAGTCCATTATCATCATGGTGGGAACCATGGTGATATGCAGGTGCTAGAGATGTAGCTGAGAGTTTTATATCTGAATCCACAGGCATCAGGAAGAAAGTGTGAACAACTGGGTCTTGATTGAGCTTCTGAAACCTCAAAGCTCACCCCTAGTGACACCCTTGTTCCAACAAGGACACACCTACTCCAACACAGCCATACCTCATAATAGTGCCACTCTCTATGAGCCGATAGGAGTCATTTTCACTCAAACCACTATAGCTGGCATGTGGGAGGAGGGAATTCAGGGGCATTCTTGGGGGAAAGGGAATACGGATTGACTGAGAACACTGCAGGTGCAGAGTGTGATAGGACCACCATTATCACTAAGCATTACCCTGCAGATTCACACACAGAATCCCCTATCTTACATCTGAGAAGACTTAGGCTCTGAGATCAGAAGACTCTGAGCATGTTCCATAGGGAAAAAAACAAACAAAAACAAAAAAATTTCTTTGGTGAGAATGTGCAAGTGCAGACACAGGCAAGTGTGTGTACGTGCCATAATGCACAAAGTCACAAAGTCACACAGTCACGGGTGCTTATGTACACAAAGAGAAGCACAGGGATTTAAGAGTGCTGTTTTCTTCCTTTCTAGTCATTGTCTGTGTGGCTTAACCAGGGACCCTTGCACCCGGGTGTGCTCAGAGCAAAGGGCTTAAAGAATGACTACGGTGTTTACAACACATCCAACAGAAATCTGGAGCCACTGTGATAAGAAGAAAAGCTGTGTGCAAATAGCCTACAAAGATTCTGAGTTGGACCACTGGGGTGCTGGGATAGTGAGTCAGGGCTTGGAGAGGCAGTGCTGATCCCCTTCTACAAGCCGAGACACATCACTGGGTAGGAGAGGGGCTCCTGGAACACATTGGGTCAGCAATAGGTCTGCTTGACTAGAAGAGAAGGATTTGTTTCTTATTCAAGTGTACCTGGAATACCAGCAGATTTCCAATAGCACCTAATCAGAGAATGAGTTCCTCTGCAGTCTTTAAACCCACCATGAGACCAGCAAGATGAGGGTTCTGAAACTCATTGCACAAGTACAAGATAACTTTTGTGCCTTGCTTGGTCCTTGGCTGAAGCCTTATGCAGTGACCCTATCACAAAGGAAGCTCTCAGAGGTTCATGAGGAATTTAGACAGAAATTCATAGATGTCATTCTATGTATTCTGGGAACAGGAGGTTTCCGAGCCCTGGCATACAACAGTAGAGCCTGATTCAAGTTATAGATTTTTTTTTGCCATTGTGCCCAACACGGGAGTGGCAGCCTGCAAGTGCTCCCTGAATGTAGGATGCTGTCTTTAAACTTCTGTTTCCCACATCATCCAGGGCCCAGATGAGGACCCAGATGAATATCGGGAATGGAGCTCTGATTGGACCATAAAGTTGGAACAATATCTAGGCAGAACTGCTGACCAGGAGTGAAAATGGAGATTCTGGGAATGTTTGGGCCAGGATCTCTTTTGCATTCTGGACCAAGTATCAGCACTGCATCTTAAATAGCAACAGTGCCAATGGGAAAGCCATATGGAAAGCTGTTGTCAGCAGCAGCACCAAAGGTGGAGCAGGCCCCAGCATCCTAGATAGTCTCAGTACCTGATCCACCATCTGGACCAGAGACACTACCAGAGGTAACACCAGCTTCTCCTATATCCATTAAAGATCATCAAAGAAATATGATGCTCTAAGGAAGGGCTGAGTTACAGCTGAGAGATGTTTGGGGCAGGCCTGGTGAAGAGTGGGTGGCCCCAATGGTGGGGAAGCATATTTGTTTCAATATTTGTGTCTCTCCCTTGTTGCTATGGGTTCAGTCTATGTTCTTCTCTTTGTTCCCTGTGTTCTTGGAAGCACTGGAGACATGAAGCCCTCTTCCATACCCAGCTACACTGTCACTCAGAGTCCCTCTCACATGGCACCCTGGCCTTGCTCCCTGTGAGTTGGAGGTCATTTGGGAGGAAGACTATTTTGCCCTTTGTGTTTTTCTTGTGTGTCTGTGTTTTTGCTATTAAAGTTGCAAAATTAATATGGATGTCTATCTTTACCTGTGTGTGAGTTGTAGGAGGCCTGTGAAAGTCTGAGCTCCAGACTAGGGAACTTGTACAGACCATCCAGAATCACTGGATTCTGTTATGACATAGGACCTTGGGTATGTGTAGAGTGGTGTGTGGTGTGGAGGTTCAAGCTGAGTGGGGATAACGAGTTCAGAGAGGAATATAGATAAAAACACAAAACAGTTGTTCTGAAACACTGATTAGATGCCAAGACCATGAAGAAAAAATGGCATGGAGGGCTGGAGGTTGGGACCACTGCACCTTCTCCAGGGATAGAATACATAAGTACTCACCCACAAAGCCTACTTGCCCCTACATCCTACTGTCTTTGTAAATACAAGGTTCTGTAAGCTTTTACTCATTACTCTGATAATAATTCAAGACTTCCTAGGTGGGGCAGAGTCTTAAGACAAATGAGCCCAGCCTCACAATTATGGTGGTATCCCCCTGCAGTCATTAAGACGGCTGGGTACTGCGGATACAGAAAATACGATCAGAACAAAGCTTTCTGCACACATACCCAGCCCAGTTTTTGATGTGGCTAGGGGCTCTCATGCTCGTCCCTGGAAGCTGGTGTCTTCTGGTGAGGCCAAATTCAGGCCTTGACATTGGTATCTTAATGGATAAGTGACATCTGCAAGGATGCGGGTAGGGAAGCAAATTGTTCAGGTACAAGGCAGTGACGGAAGAGAAAGATTGATCTTCTGGCAGAGGTTCTGTGGCAATCAGGGACAACGTCCAGAGATTCCTGGACTGTCCCAAGAAGGTACACAGCCAAGCTGGACAGAACCCCATGAGGGAGGCAGTAGTTCGAGGGTCCCTGCCTCCACATTGCTTCTTTCACTTAAGCCACACCAGAATTGTGACTTGGAGTGTCTGCAAAAATTGCAAGGCCTAGTGAAAAGGGAAACTCAGCTCTGTTGGCAGAAATATGGTTAAGAATTCCAAGACAGTGACAGAAGAGCATTATACCAGAGCCCATTTAGAATGTGTATGTTGCGTATGGAGGGGGGACTTGCATAGGTACATCACCTAGGACCCAGCTCTCTCTCTTCCCCCCCCCCTCTCTCTCTCTCTCTGTGTGTGTGTGTGTGTGTGCTTACAGTAGAATTTGAGGTTGGGAGGAAATCTACATTGGTGGCCTGTGCTGTTTCTTAGGTATTGGGCTTGACATTTGGCCATATGGACATGGTGAGATTCTGATAATCACTGATTTGCAACTTTTAACTGATATACACTTGAGCAGAAACTTGCACACATAGAAATGGAATCTTGCCTTTCAATGTCCCCGCCTATGTTTGGGACTATGAAAGACATGAGGGGTGCCTGGAACCCCACTCCAGACATGTATCATTGTACAATAAAGCATTGTACACCTAAAATATTCATGAAAAGTGTTGGCCCATGTTGGCCCATGTCTTCTCTGGCATCGTGACAAGGACACTACCCACAAGCCACAACTCAGGGTGTGAGCACCATGTGCAGAGGGTGCTTGACACATCACATATGTAAAAGAGGAAGAAATATCTCCAAGAGGCTGGAACACCCCTTCCTGGGTGCTGCTGCCCAGCCTCCTCCCAGGACACTTTCCCCAGAAGGCCTAACCAGGGACTCTTCAGGGGGTGGTGTGAGAGTATGCAGGGCAAAGATAATAGGGGGGAGGGGCAGCCAAGGCACACTGAGAAAATGGAGGGACATAGACTTGGCAATTGTGCAGACAGTGGATGTGCTGGGTAGTGTTATGTCAATTTGAAACAAGCTAAAAATACTTGGGAAGGGTGACTGTCAACAGAGAAAAATGGTCCCCCACCAGGAGTAATTTGGGGACAGAGAACCACAATTGAGAAAATAACCAACAGAGCGGCCATTGGGAAGGTATTCTATGAAAATACCTGTGGGTAATTTTTGAGTTATGATTGAGGTGGAACAGCCCAATTTATTTTTGACGATGTCACCCATGGACAGGTGGTCCTGAGAGCAATTGAAAGCAGGCTGAGCAAACCATGATGAGCAAGGCAGTAAGCAGCACCCCTCCATGCCTTCTGCTTCAGCTCCTGCCTCCAGCTTCCTTCGATGAGTTCCTTGGGAGATGGACGACAAACTGAGGTGAAAAGATAGACGCTTCCCTCCTCAAGTTTGCTTGTGTCCATGGTGTATACGACAGCAATACAAACCCCGAATAAGAGAGTGGGTCCCATAGGAAGGCCAGACAGGCCACCTGGAGGCCTCAAAGCTTCACTCTCATCAACAGGAGGCAGAGGGCTCCCACACACCTGCTGCTCTTACCCACCACCACCACCACATGGCAGCAGGTTCTGACTGGCAGGTGTTTTCTCAGACCCCTGGATATGCGGGGTCTGAGGCAGCAGTACCTACGATGTTTGACTGCTCCCACACAGCTTCTTCCTCCACCCTGGGCTGCTCCCTGTGACCCCTCCTCCACTTTGAAACGGAAGAAAGAAATGTGGGTGCCCAGGATCCTAGTGCTCCCTGGTTACAGAGAACGCTTACTTGCCCATCCATATGCAGTTTATTGTGTGGCCTCTCCTTCACTGCAGACAGGAGGGAGCGATCTATTTCCCCCATCCAGTAGATGAGGAACCCGAGGATACAGGAGGGAGGCCACTCTGTCTGGTGGCCCATAGCCAGGAGGCAGCAGTAGAAGGACTCGAACCTAGAGCCCTCTGAGAACACGATGCCTGCTCTGAGCCATGCAGCATGTTGTAGTCGCCGTGGAGGAACTCACGGGGCCCAGCAGACAAAACCTCCCCCCACCCACGCACCACACGCCATCCTCACTCCAACATCCCCCCAGCCCCCATCTACCTAAGGACACGTGCCTAATCCCATTTCACTCTCACCAATGGCCCCTGTTCCTGCCTGCCTTCATGGCCGAAAGGAGAAAACCAAACCAGAGGAGAGAGTGACCGGCCAGAGATCACTGACCCAGCTCTGCCAATGTCTTAGTGAGCTTGACCCCAGCCTCTTCTCCTGGCTGGCCACATGCATGCCTTTTTCTCGGGTTGCCATGGAGGCAGGTCCAAATGGCTTATCCGTTTACTGTTAGATTGCCAGTTAGTGTTGCAGATATTTTTCTCATACACTGTGGGTTGAATTTTCATCCTGCTACAGACCAAGAGCATACATAGGAGACTTTCCATCTCAGGTCCAGCCTGGGTCCTTTGCAAGGACCCTCTGAAAGCAGACAGGGAAGCCAAGGGGAGGGCCACAAGATGCCTCATTCCCTGCTGAGTGTGGCACACAACAGCTTCCTATGCCTCTTAACAGGACACTTTACCCATGTCAGGGCTACACCATCCATCGCTTCCTCCGCGAATATGGACAAAACAGCAAGTTTCAGGGGACCCCTAACAAACAGCCTTGATGCTAATTAAATTCCCCCTACTTTTCATGGTAGCTCACACACTAGAATCTTGGGGTCCAGGCAGTGTCAGTGTGATACATCACAAAGGTACATCCAAGGTGGGAGGGTTGCCCCCGCTCTCTTCTCTTCTCTCTCTCCTCTCTCTCCCTCCCTCCCTCCCCCCTCTCTGTTTCTCTCTCTGTCCCTCCCTCCATCCCATTATCCCTCTTCCTGTCTCTCCTCTCTCCTGTCTCCCCTACTTCCCTCTCTCTCTCTCCCTCCCTCCTGTTCTACTTCCTTCCACTCCTGCTATCTGTTGTTAGTCTCAGGGATCG